TTGCGAATTCTGATGTGGAATGCATCTTACGTGCAAAAACACTCCAATTACACCTGACAGGAATGGGTCGATGAAACGACCCGAGAAAAAACGAAAAGGTACCATCGCCATGTCCAGTGCTAGATGAAATTAGTTGACAGATTGCGACAACAGTGCAGAAATCGAAGTGAAAATCAAATCGACATGCCGGTTCTGGGCTTAGCCCGTTGCCATGGACGACAAAATGGAAAATGGAAAATTGCAGGTACGTTTTCACCCCCATGCTGTCTGGTCTTCGTTGGCCAGGACAGACAGTCATGGGTTCCTGGCCCCCTGCTATGACTGACAAATGACATGACACAAGAGTTTGAAAAACGCAGCAACCATACGTGTTGAAAAAGTGGAAAATGAAAAACCGATGCACAGCGACGGCAACAGGTAGAAGTTTTACATCTCTTCAGATGTTTCACACACACACACAGACACACGTGTATATATACATAGAGAGAGAGAGAGTGTGTGTGTGCGTGTGTGCGGAAGGCTTGAAGCCCTCCAAGAAGGCCCACCAAAAGATAAGAGTGTTGGTAAGCATCACTAATCTAACTAGGATGCATGGTGGAGATGCAAATGATGGTATGCCTTCGCACCATGAATGAACAAATTTGGGTGGGGACGACTCCAGGGATGCATGCGGAAGCTACTGCATCCTGCTGATTCAGTTGTTTTATCGATATTTTGGAGGCACACAAAAATGAAAAAATATCAACTCCAGCAGAAAAGAACCGTCCAAGGTCATGTTTGAACCAAACAAGCATATATTCAAATAAATGCATTATAAAGAAATTAATTAATTTTTAAAAAGTAAAATAATAATGTGTATATATATATACATATATACATGGATATACATACATATATATATATATACATGGATATACATACATACATATATATATACATATATACGTACATACATACATACATACATAGATACATACATACATACATACATACATTACATACATATATATATATATACAAATATGTGTGTATATGTGTATAATTTATATATATATATATGATGGTTGATCAAAATTCCTTTGTCAGCAAACGGCCATCCTTCGCGAATAAAAATGTTACTTTCGCGAAACTTTCGCGAACTCCACGTTTATCTTTCGCGGGGCCCATGTTGGGCAACAACGCCTCTTATGAAGATTCGTTCACCACCTGCCAAATTACGCCACAGAATCACGGATCACTTCTTGATAGCCTTTTTAAACATGCAGCTAGCATCACGGAATCCCTTCTCAGGACAGATTGTTGCTGACTAGTTTTTTGGTTGCAAGGTTTACTGACCCACCCCCGGCCCCTTCAACATGCACTTTGACTTCCGCCCGCTCCTTCGCGGAACTTTCGCGGAACTTTCGCGAAAAGATCCCTATTCACAGACCCCGGCCATAAGCAGGGGGGGAAATTAGGGCCTTGGTGTTTGGCTCTCGCAAAGCATCACTTTTGGAAACTTAGCTGCTGCATTTGGAGCTTTTTTCTTGAGACTTCAAAAATCATCATTAGGCAGTGACAGCGGCAGGTGCAAGGATGTGCTTCAGGACCATGGTGCTTGGCTGTCGCGAAGCCTCAGCTTTGGAAGCTCGGCTGCTACTTGTGAAGGGCAAAGTGATTGTCCAAAAGCGCCACCACACAGGGAACTGAACCAGAACCAAACCGAAATTCTCCGTTGCCCTTCTCCTGCCGGACCCCAGGCGGCAGTGGGTGGCAGCCCTTTACATACTAATTATAATATCCAACTTTCGCGAAACTTTCGCGAAAAAAAATGTTACTTTCGCGAACTCGAAAAAAACTTTCGCGAGGGTTCCCAACATAACATGAACGGTCTTCGCAATTAAAACTCTTTACAATTTACAAGGACCTTTAGATCGATCATCCAACCCCGCTATAATTGTAAACTGTAAACCTCCGAAACAAAATGACCAACAAGTGCACCTTCAGCATTGCCATACATTTCCCCGGGGATCCCAGGGGCCTGCATGGACTCCTTGGGCACAAACAGCTGCGCCTCCAAAGCCTCGAAGGCGTGGCTCTCAGCGTCCACGGCCGTGTGACTGTCGCGCAGCTGCAGGATATGTTCGGCGGAGAGCTCCATGAACTGCACCTCCACTTGTCGGCCATCCTTCGCCTTGCCCAAAAAATGGCGGCAGGATTTTGGAGCAATGGACCACTGAATCACAAGAATCACAACCAAAGCCACTTTTTTTCCACTCATGGCATGCCTGGAACCGGATCAACGGCACCGTGGCATCGCTGGCGCACTCCACGTCTGCCCCCACCGCAGCCAAGGCTTCGGCGGCGCGTGCGAAGAAACGCGGCTGGGAGAGGCTGGCAGAACAGGCCAGCAGATCCACGTCGCTGCCCTGGAGTTGGCCGAAAAATGGGCCCGTTTCAACCCCCAAAAGTGTCACTTTTTTCGGGGATAATCGGATAAACCATGCTAAACATTATACTATAGAATTGGGGACCATTTTTTGGTTTTCGATGGAAACAATTGAAGATAAATTGAAGATAACGAAAACACATGATAAACAATGTCTATAAATTCGGTGTTACCCTGACTTCTTTGTCAGTTTAGCGTGAGGAAAATCATGAGGTCGCTTATTCTGAGGGGAGACTTCGTGACATTGGATGGCTATTGTTGTGGGGTAGCCAGCTCAAGGATTCTGCGGTTACGTCACCACTATATCCACATTTATATTAGGTGGTTTTCCATTCCGCAAAATATCTGGCTGAATTGTGGTAATTCACTCACCTGAAAACCGCTGTTATCATACGGCCATTTGGGGATGATTCCCCGCCTCTAATTCCCATCATTCCAGTGATGGAAAGCGACGTGAGGTCACCATAATTCATCCAACTTTTTGGTCCCATTCGATTCCCCCTTAAATCATAGCATATCTATATAATATTAACCCCCAAAAAGATAGAAAAGTCAAATATCACTGTGATGAATTCCCATGAGATTCCCATCATCTCCAATGCAAGGCATCCGTGGCATCGACGCCAAAGGTGCCGCATCTGCAATCCCCAGCGCCGCAGAGCCCAGTAAAACCAGCTCGACTTCTGAGCCCAAGGACAAGGCTTCCAGCACCTCGCTTCAGCCACCGGCAAGGGCAATGCCAAGATGTGGGAAATACATGGAACTACCAGAGATTGGGTGATTTTATGGGTTGATTTTAGGTAAATGATGGGTAAATGAGCAAACACTTGGAGGTTGAGAAGCCAGAATCCGTGTCAATGGATTGGCTTATGTATTCTAATTAAGGGAAAATCTACACAGTAAACTGGCTGGGTTTTCTCCCATGTTATTTTTCCGGGTCAACGGGTGTTTACCCTGCAGATCTTCTCTTAATGAGACCATATGAGGTCACCTCTAAGGAGTGGGGCCGGTTGATAGGAATTCTCACGAATCGTTGAATATCATCACATTCCTAGATTGACCCAGCACCATACTTTACATTACTATACCAAGAAAAAGAACATCATATAATATACAGCAGTAAAACTGCGTAATTCAACATGGCAATGGACAATGCATCAAATCATATAAAATCACACTCTTTAATAGGAACGTGATTTTCCTGGTAGGTTCTTGTGGCCTGCGACTGGAATACCATAAATATCGAATCATAAAAGCCACATCATTTCCCAGAACGGGTGTGAAACGTGAGCGGTTTGGTTACCCTCTGGTAAACCAACAGTTCAATGTGCAAAACCCAAATTTTGATCATTTTTCGAAGTGGGCTCCCCATGGGTTTTCCACAGCTATGTCAACGTTTACCCCAGGGTACCATGAACCAAGCAATGGGGGACAGTCACTGCCTCCGGCTGCAAGACATCTGCGGGCTTGTGGAGCAGCACTCTCTCCTCAGCGCCTGGCAGGTGCTGAAAATTTTGCGTCGATGCTGGTCGAGGGGTTGTGCCAAGATCAGGGTGAACATATACATATTAATAATAAATAATAATAATAATAAATAAATAATAATAATGATAATAATAATAATAAGTAATAATAATGATAATAATAGTAATAATATACATATACATATACAAGATAATAATATGAGAATATAATTTAAGAATATAATAAAGTATGTATACATAATATATCATAATAATATATATATGTGTGTGTAAGATATGTATGTATGTATGTATGTATGTATGTATGTATGTATGTATGTATGTATGTATGTATGTATGTATGTATGTATGTATGTATGTATGTATGTATGTATGTATGTATGTATGTATGTATGTATGTATGTATGTATGTATGTATGTATGTATGTATGTATGTATGTATGTGTATGTATGTATGTATGTATGTTGTATGTAATGTATGTATGTATGTATGTATGTATGTATGTATGTATGTATGTATGTATGTTATGTATGTATATGTATGTAATGTATGTTGTATGTAATGTTATGTATGTTATGTATGTTATGTATGTTATGTATGTAACGTATGTAATGTATGTAATGTATGTCATGTATGTAATGTATGTAATGTATGTAATGTATGTAATGTGTGTAATGTATGTAATGTATGTAATGTAATGCAATGTAATGTAATGTAACGTAACGTAACGTAACGTAACGTATGTATGTATGTATGTATGTGCATGTATGTTATGTATGGTATGTATGTTATGTGTGTATGTATGTTATGTATGTTATGTATGTTATGTATGTTATGTATGTTGTATGTATGTATGTTATGTATGTTATGTATGTTATGTATGTTATGTATGTTATGTACGTTATGTACGTTATGTGCGTTATGTACGTTATGTACGTTATGTACGTTATGTACGTTATGTAAGTTATGTATGTTATGTATGTTATGTATGTTATGTATGTTATGTATGTTATGTATGTTATGTATGTTATGTATGTTATGTATGTAATGTATGTCATGTATGTCATGTATGTAATGTATGTAATGTATGTAATGTATGTAATGTATGTAAGGTATGTCATGTATGTAATGTATGTAATGTGCGTAATGTATGTAATGTATTTAATGTATAATGTAACGTAACGTAACGTAAGGTAACGCAACGTAAGGTAACGTAAGGTAACGTAACGTAACGCAACGTAACGCAACGTATGTATGTATGTATGTATGTATGTATGTATGTATGCATGCATGTGTACTTGGTGGGAACTAGGACTGCATACTGTGTTCCTGTGGATTCCCCCAACACCCCAAGCTGAGACCCCCAACAAAATCGGGGTATCTTAAGGGTCAGCTTCCAGGTGCGGGTAACGCCTGCGGCAACGGCAGCTCTTATCTTGCAGAGGACGCCAAAGTGATCTGACAAATACCTGGTCTCAATTGGTTGGGCAAGGCACCAAGTCGGGCAATGTATGGCATCAAAGTTGGGTATTGTCTTTAAGTTGAGACGAGTTGGTGGCAGCCTTGGCAGCATTTTACGGCAAGTCCAAAGCATCATTGAAGTGGCTACCAGGGGCCTCCACGTTGGCAGTTGGGGACACAAAGGATTCCATCTAAAGTGTCCATCTAAGGCGTCCAAAAACTTCGTTCCAGCGTTCCTTCCTGCAGAAGAGGCGCCAGGGCTGCTTTCCGGACTCGATTGATGCCTGGAGAGGCAACTTAGACACCCTTGCAGAATCTTGTTCATCCTGAGGTTGTGATTTTGATGATGAAATCCGTACTTGCGATGCGTGAATCACCCTTTTTGATCGCTACATCATGCTTCATCCATTTTCCATGGTGAAAACCCCACAGTTTCATGGTCCATGAAAATCCCGAATTTTCAGCTGCATCACAGCTCCCATCAGCTCCTCATAGAAGGCTTCGGTGCCCACCAGCCGCGCGTCCATCAGCCAGCCGCCCTCGGCCCCGGCCCCGGCGGCCACGTAGATCCGGTCGATGCGGCGCGGCTCGGTGCGGCCGTTGACGGCGGCAACGACCTGCTGCGCCACGCGGTTCCTGGGGCGCCGGCGGAAGTGAAGCAACAGATGTAACCAACTTGTGGTAGAAATATTTGATGTGTATATATATATATAACAGTTATAAAGGATACTTATAGTTCAATGGATTTAGATATATCATATATATATCATGGTTCTGATAGAACTAACCAGTGGATTTTTGGGAGAAAATTATGCTGATTAACCTTGAAAGAATGTTTGATTTGACACATTGCAAACGACCAACTTGCTCCACTTGCCGTAATCACCTGATCCAGTTAATCCACTTGGGACCGGGAAACCTGACATGGAGAGTCCAAAGAAGGTGATTTGCATTGGGAAAACTATCAGTACCACCCGGTCCGTCAATTTGGAGAATCATCCCAGATAGTGGTGGAGAAGGACACACATATTTGAAATTTGTCTGAAACCACTCAGAAACCACTCAGAAAATCAAGGAGATCTTTCTTTTTGGCGAAATTTGTTTCACACCCATGGCTCTACCCCTCCGAAGTCTGTGCCCATCCATTCTCTGGAGGGAAACCACTGGACCATTTGACCATCCAAAGATGGCGCATCCCGCTACAATTTTACCCTAAATCGTGTCCTTGAACCACCTCTGTGCTTTTCTCCATAAATGGCTATGGATCGAAAATGATCGAAACCATGGTACCCTTCTGTTCCAAGTAGTACTTGAAAATGGATGATCATCCCTAATAATTCATCCACCATGGATGGCCCTCTGCTATTGACCCCCAAGTTGAACCCAAAAGATCTTCCTGCGCCAAGCCACACCGTTGGATCAAAGGTGTATCCTTCCTCCTGAGGGTTCGCCTCCACCCAGGCATCCAAGAATTCACCCGAAAGCACCGGAGCCGCATCGTTGAAGTCCCCAGCAATCAGTCCCAGATCACCAGGCCGGAGCCTGCCGATTGCAGCCAGGCCTTTTCAAAGTTCTACCGAATAATCATCTTGAAGTACCCTCCGGTGTCATCAAACGTGGCTATCCTGAAAAACCACGAAGAATAGTGGTAAAGAAAATACATTTCTATTGTATTTTTTTGGATCTGTTTGGTGGCTCTATCTGTAAATGCAAAATCCCCGACCTGTCATGTAGCACCTCTTCGCAGGTCTTCAGCTGCTCCGCCCGGTGCTCCTGACGACTGCTGGGCCCAGAGGCATCCAGCAAATCAGCAGCGAGGTGCAGATTGGCGACCAGCACGGCCTGGGCCGATGGAGGGGGAAGAGGTTGAAATATCCACGGCCCATGGCTATTTCAGGCACCTAAATATAGCTAAAAACATTAGAACAATGGTACAGTATTCACAGTCACCTTGAAAAGTAGGAGGTGCCTGCACACTTGGCCTCAAATGTTTCATGTTTTCCGCGGCCTTAAGCAGATCCCAAACAATGAAAATCTTCAGACATCCCATCCGCACAACATCCCCCCCATCGGCTGCCCAGTAGCACGGGCACGGCCCAGGGAGGCCAAAATGGTGGTCAAGACGACAGTCTTGTGCTGGCTGAGACCTTTCTTTTTGGTGCTTATCTTTTTGGGTGCTGCGGGGGTCACCCTATAGCCATGATATGCTATGATGATAAAGGAGCCAAGGGCGTTGCCCCAGCAAACATTGTGATGGCAGAAATTGGTTGGACTTACTATAGCTCCTCGAAGTGGGTGGATAGGTAGTTGGGGTCAGACCCCCCCGCGAATCCCAGTTGGGTGTTCTGGAATTTGATGGTGGGGTGACCGGACTTCACCGCCCAGATGATTCAAATTGGGTTCACCTACAGGCCTGTCCAATTACAAACATATGGTGTGATGGGAGGAAGTTTGAGAGGGGTTCGTCTTCACTTCTATTCAAAGTCCGCCCCTTCCACCCAAAAAAAAAATACCAAAATCCCACACCCCAGGGTTAGATGTCAATCTTTGGGAGTCAAGAAACTCTTCCCAACTTCCTTCCACCCAAGACAATGCCAGTTGGCTACCCAAAAGTCATCCTAGAGTTGGCCGTGCTCCAACTGTGCTTGTCAGATACCCCGAAGTCAACCAGGTGGATAACACCCATCTGCAATCGAAAAATGATGGGGAAATCTTGCCAACAGCCTTATCGCTATGTTCCCACCAAAGCACGGGCACACAATACGGATCGTACAGGCCATTTGGAGAGAGTCAGCTGGCCCGAGGGGTCCACGGAGTCCTTGGATTCTCTTCGACTTGTGGGTGAAATCCTTCACAATTGTTGGCTAAAGAAACTTGATCAATTTGACGGAGTTCCATTTTTGTCGGTTCCAGCGCAATTGTGGTCTTGATCCCTTCCGTGTCCATGGCAACCCCAACTCACAAATCGGTCCTAGTCCCAGGCACCAAACCCAGCTCAGTATTTCTGCCGGCATGCCCTTCAACCCCCTGAAAGGCGACCCTCATTGGTGGTTGTTGGTGGTGAATAAGCCCTTAAGAATTCTTTATTGTTGGGGAGGTCCAGTTCCATGCTAGACGCAGTCTGCTCACCGCAACTGGACCAGTAGTGATCTCGAACCCACAATTGCTGCAATAGCATCTCTGCGAAGGACGGCGTTACCTGGCTGAAAATTCCAGCGTCGTCTTGCGTATAAACAATGTACTGGGGTAACCATGACCTACTCCACAGCCGGCTTAGGAAACAAGGTTTGCTCCAGGGTTTTTGCATTCATGATGCCATATGATAGTAACAGTAACACCTTTGCCACCACTTGTTCAGAGTCCTTGGAGGGAAACATCTGCGTGTTCCTCAAAACTTGGCTACCCTACCTAGTAAAACTGACCAATATAGTTTGGATGATAAGTTGGGGTCCATGACTGTTGGAACGCCATGAAAGCCAACATGTTGCCAAAAAAAAAAGTTATCCCCACTCTATATATGACTGCATATCCACTACTGCTCGACGGCTCATACCGCTCCTGATTGGGATGTTAACCAAATTATATCATCATCATCATCATCATCACCATCATCATCATCATCATCACCATCATCATCATCACCATCATCATCATCATCACCAGCATCATCATCATCATCACCAGCATCATCATCATCATCATCACCACCACCAGCATCATCATCATCATCATCATCATCATCATCATTTTCTTTTTTGATTATGCAATGCATCCATGACATCCCCCTATTTTGCGTTTGAACCCTCGTTGCCAGCGCAAGAAGGGCCTCCTGAAGCAAGATGACGTCCGCTTCCGACTTCTGCAGTTCTGCGAAGATGTGGGCCATGCGGACCTGACGACATGGGAAAACTCCAATGGATGTGGAGAACCCAAACTATGGCCCTGCCAAGAATTGGGAGTTTTGGTGGTTCTCTCTCCATCACATCCCCGGTGGTGTGGGGTCACCAATTTGAAAAAACCTCACGTAGAATCAAATACTTAGATTCGAACATATTCGAACCTGTTTTACTCAAATCCAGGTCACCAGCAGTAATCCAACTTCCAAACAGTTTAACCTTGGATTTTGGTTGCATGTCCTAGCCATGCTCCCATCCCATCCGATGATTGGCTCCCGACCTGCAAGTGCGTCTCCACGTCACCGTAGAGCTCAAAGAGAACATTCAGAGTGAGAACCTCGGTGGCCAGGGATGGCCAGGGTCTCTGCACAGTTCGTCCCAGTTGGCGGTTTCTAAAGCCCATCTCACAGGCGTCTCATTGGGGTATTCACCACTGGGGTATTCAAAAAACATGTGGATATCGAGAAGACATAACCGTTGCAACCAGCCACCCAAGACTGCCCACGTTTTAAAAAAAAGAACAGAAAAAACGCGCGACAACCATGTCCCCCCTTCCCCAGTCCCCCCAACAAAAAAAACACGGGACGCAGGCACCTTCAATTCTTCAAGTCTCACAGACTGCATGGCAGGGCAGGGCATCCAGCAATCCTTCTCAGCCACATACCGCATCCCGGCCACCTCTACTGGCGGAGGAGCAGCCTGCCAGGCGTTGCCAACCGGGCTCCACGCCTTTATTCCCCGCAAATTTGTAGAAAGGTAGGGAAAATTCATGCAATTCATGGGATGATGGATGAAACCCATGGGACGAATGATTTCCATAAAGCATTTCCAAGCTGAACATGGTCAAAATTTCTGGGCCGCCCAAGCGTTCCTTTGTGGAGCAGCCCTTCCTCTTGGTGAAGGTGCCTTTGCTGCCACCAGCTTTAGATCAGCCCCAGGGCCCCAATCCCTAAATTTCCTCTCTCCATCTTCAAAGAGTTCAATAGAAGCTGAAGGCGAGGAGGTGGCCCAGCTCACTACCCCTACTTTCATATTTGTACCCAATGATACCAGCGGCTAATTAGTACCACCTATCCTTGGTAATTATACTACCCCTACTATCCCTACGATCCAGCCTTGCGGCCACCGCCTCTTCCCCGTACCTTCCAGCATTCGCGTCAAGGATCTTGGAGGATCGGATTCCCACTGAAGATCTACTTGTGTAGGGATTTCTCCTCATATGTCCCCACATATGGTCATATGTTCCACGGATTTGTTGTTTGTAGTTTGACATATGTTGACCCTATTTACTATCAAGATAGAATGATGCTAAATGACCTTGAATCATCCAGAGCGTAACTCCACCTATTTCTACATACCGATCAACCTATGTCCAAACATGAAGCTCAGGAAGATCATCTCAAAGTAATCGTTGTTCCTAGTTACTAGTTTATCAAAAAGGAAATCATCACCAACCATTTTTCCATATAAAATATAATCATCCCAAATATCACTCCCAAGAGTATAGCCCATAGAATTTTAATGAAATAAATACACATTATACAATACTGTAATCAATAATAGTCATGTGGCAATTTTAACCATTGGTGTAATACAAATAGCCCAAAAAAAAACGATAATAGTGACAAAAAAAACATCAATGTAATACGAACAAAACCAATAAGAACAACTAACAGAATATTACATATCAATATATTACATCATATATATATATATATATTTCTATATTGTATATATATACCATACAACAGTATCAATGACCAACGTTTCATCCTCCAAGACCTTCCCTTTCAGGCCTTGATCAGCCCCTGCTCGATCTTCTCCGCCGTGCGCTGGGCGCGCCGGATGGCCTCCACAGTCTCGGCAGCCACCGACGCCGTGCCCATCTGGCCGTGGGGTGGGCTTCATTAGATCTATGATATGGAATGTTATATATCTATAATATGTTATGGATAAATATACGTATATATATATATATGTATATACTGTGTATATATATATATATACAGCATATATATATATATACAGAATATATATTCGATGGTTAGGATAAGGATGGAGAATGAATGTATCTAAGATTCGGGAAATTGTTGTTTAATTAGATGTTAAACGTTGGATACGGACTGTGTTTTCAATGGATTTGAAAGGATCTGTTTCGGGAGACTATGGTTTCTTCCCGCAAAGGCGCAAAATTTCAATCAATTCTGGCTCAGCGGTGGGAGGACAGCCTAAACTTTAGCTGCACAAAGCTGACACCTCCAAAATATTCGGTGGAAATCAACTAGGCATCTTGGAAAAACGCATCACTCAGGGGATCTGTCCCGACATTTTGCCCAAACAATGATGAGGAGCGAAACATGGAAATACGAACTTCGGCCCACTGTGAGGTGATCCGTTCATCAATTGCTAAGATCAATGGCTAAGATACTAAGAAGCAACTATCGAAAGCGGGATGGTTACTGTACCCAAGTGGCAGGCCTGCCTGTGGCTTGTGTGGCTTCAGCTGGCAAGCATTTGGAACAAGCACGAAACTAATGACGCAGTCCTGGCTTGGCCTGCATTTTAGGGACCTCCAAAATTAAACGGAATGAGGAAAATGGAATTCAAGTTTTGAGGGGCGGAGCAATCCGGACTGGCATGTGCAATCCGAGCAGCCACTTGCGGCCATTCATTCATTCATTTCATTTCGTTTCGTTTCGTTTCATTTCATTTCGTCTCTTTTCGTTTTCATGTTCATTTCAATTCGTTTCATGTCATGTCATTTCATTTCGTTTCGTTCGTTCCTTCGTTCATGCGTTCCTGGCTTTTTCCCGCAGAATTTCGTGCGCTTGTTGCTCTCCCTGGAAATGTGCCGAGTGCGTCGTTCCTTTCGTTTCAACTCCTCCCTTCCACTCATTACTTTTTCCCTTTCGTTTCAAGTCTTCCCTTTCATTCGTTACTTTCTTCCTTTCGTTTCAACTCCTATATCCCGTTCGTTACTGCTTCCCTTTGTTTCAAATCATTCGTCAAATTGAAACTCTCAGCAGCGGCCAGGGAGTCATCAAATTAACATCCAGTCGTAGTTTGTGTCGCAGCTACCCAAGCTGCTCGCATTGTCACGGTGTCACGATGCTGCGACGCTGCGGCGGGCTGCTCGCGTCGCGTCTTCGCGTCTTGGGAATGAAATCTTCGCGCCCGTCGTGCGCCCAGAATGCCAGTCACCATGAGATACATATGCATATATGTATCTATGCATCTATGTATACATGTATTCTGTATATATGTATACATGTATATATAAATATATGTATATATACATATGTATGTATGTATATAGTTTTTGTAAATGCTTGTCTATATGCATATGTGTTTATATGTACATGTCTATATATGTATATATGCATATATGTACACATGTATATGTGCATATGTGTATGCATGTATATAGTGTAGATATGTACATATGTACATATGTATATATGCATATATGTATGCATGTATGTGTATATATATATATGTGTGTGCGCGCGTGTGTGCGTGTGTGTGTAAAACTAGAATGTACACATCTGCTTTCAAAAAGTGTTTAAAAAAAATGCGGGTTTGTATGAACTATCCCTACATTTCATATCATTTCATTCGTGATCAAAATGGCCATTGGGCTGTCCCAGTCGCCTCATTGAAAATTCGGTCCAGCCGATGCTTGCGATCCCACAGCACTTCAGCTCCGCGGCGGAAGTAGTAGATGCGGTGGAAGGGGAGATCTCCACCTGCGCCCAGAGAGCGACAAATTGATCGCAAAATCAACATAGAAAAAACTGAGCAATGAAACTGAGGGAGTTAAACATGAAACTGTGGATTTAAACATGATTTGACAACTAAAAATTGGGATTTAAGCATCAAAAATGAGGATCAACCCATGAACAGTGGGGATTTGCCCAAGAAATTTCGTTATTCATAGGAGCTTGGTACCTGAAGATTTAGGAAAAGCAAAGTCCTACGGCTGAGCAAAGCTTCTCCCACATTATTGCCACTGATTGGGGGTCAATTCCCATGTTTGGACAACCCCAAAGTGGATTTGCACCTGGATCAACTGGGATGATATATTTGACCCCAAAAAAATCTTGGGTAAACCCCAAAAGTCCCAGTTGAAACTCGGCTGTTTTCCCTATGTTTTTCCACGGTGCTTCCTATGAAAATGGCCGCGCTTGCGCCGGCGCCTGGTTTGAAGTCCACCAGCTGCAGCTCCATGGGCCCAAGGAATCGATCTTCGTAGCCTCATGGCCACTATTTTGATAGTTTCACAATGCTTAATGAATAAAGAATGATAATGGTTAGTCATGGTTAGTAATGGTTAGTAATGGTTAGTAATGGTTAGTAATGGTTAGTAATGGTTAGTAATGGTTAGTAATGGTTAGTAATGGTTAGTAATGGTTAGTAATGGTTAGTAATGGTTAGTAGTGGTTAGTAGTGGTTAGTAGTGGTTAGTAGTGGTTAGTAGTGGTTAGTAGTGGTTAGTAGTGGTTAGTAGTGGTTAGTAGTGGTTAGTAATCGTTAGTAATCGTTAGTAATCGTTAGTAATGGTTAGTAATGGTTAGTAATGGTTAGTAATGGTTAGTAATGGTTAGTAATGGTTAGTAATGGTTAGTAATGGTTAGTAATGGTTAGTAATGGTTAGTAATGGTTAGTAATGGTTAGTAATGGTTAGTAATGGTTAGTAATGGTTAGTCATGGTTAGTCATGGTTAGTCATGGTTAGTAATGGTTAGTAATGGTTAGTAATGGTTAGTAATGGTTAGTAATGGTTAGTAATGGTTAGGAATGGTTAGGAATGGTTAGGAATGGTTAGGAATGGTTAGGAATGGTTAGGAATGGTTAGGAATGGTTAGGAATGGTTAGCAATGGTTAGCAGTGGTTAGGAGTGGTTAGGAGTGGTTAGGAGTGGTTAGGAGTGGTTAGGAGTGGTTAGGAGTGGTTAGTAGTGGTTAGTAGTGGTTAGTAGTGGTTAGTAGATGTTAGTAGTGGTTAGTAGTGGTTAGTAGATGTTAGTAGTGGTTAGTAGTGGTTAGTAGTGGTTAGTAGTGGTTAGTAGTGGTTAGTAGATGTTAGTAGTGGTTAGTAGTGGTTAGTAGATGTTAGTAGTGGTTAGTAGTGGTTAGTAGATGTTAGTAGTGGTTAGTAGTGGTTAGTAGTGGTTAGTAGTGGTTAGTAGTGGTTAGTAGTGGTTAGTAGTGGTTAGTAGTGGTTAGTAGTGGTTAGTAGTGGTTAGTAGTGGTTAGTAGATGTTAGTAGTGGTTAGTAGTGGTTAGTAGATGTTAGTAGTGGTTAGTAGTGGTTAGTAGTGGTTAGTAGTGGTTAGTAGTGGTTAGTAGATGTTAGTAGTGGTTAGTAGTGGTTAGTAGATGTTAGTAGTGGTTAGTAGTGGTTAGTAGTGGTTAGTAGTGGTTAGTAGTGGTTAGTAGTGGTTAGTAGTGGTTAGTAGTGGTTAGTAGTGGTTAGTAGTGGTTAGTAGTGGTTAGTAGTGGTTAGTAGTGGTTAGTAGTGGTTAGTAGTGGTTAGTAGTGGTTAGTAATGCTTAGTAATGCTTAGTAATGCTTAGTAATGCTTAGTAATGCTTAGTAATGCTTAGTAATGCTTAGTAATGCTTAGTAATGCTTAGTAATGCTTAGTAGTGCTTAGTAGTGCTTAGTAGTGCTTAGTAGTGCTTAGTAGTGCTTAGTAGTGCTTAGTAATGCTTAGTAATGCTTAGTATTGCTTAGTAATGCTTAGTAATGCTTAGTAATGCTTAGTAATGCTTAGTAATGCTTAGTAATGCTTAGTAATGCTTAGTAATGCTTAGTAATGCTTAGTAATGCGTAGTAATGCTTAGTAATGCTTAGTAATGCTTAGTAATGCGTAGTAATGCTTAGTAATGGTTAGTAATGGTTAGTAATGCTTAGTAATGGTTAGTAATGCTTAGTAATGCTTAGTAATGCTTAGTAATGCTTAGTAATGCTTAGTAATGCTTAGTAATGGTTAGTAATGCTTAGTAATGGTTAGTAATGGTTAGTAATGCTTAGTAATGCTTAGTAATGCTTAGTAATGCTTAGTAATGGTTAGTAATGCTTAGTAATGGTTAGTAATGGTTAGTAATGGTTAGTAATGGTTAGTAATGGTTAGTAATGTTTAGTAATGGTTAGTAATGGTTAGTAATGGTTAGTAATGGTTAGTAATGGTTAGTAATGGTTAGTAATGGTTAGTAATGGTTAGTAATGGTTAGTAATGGTTAGTAAGGGTTAGTAATGGTTAGTAATGGTTAGTAATGGTTAGTAATGGTTAGTAATGGTTAGTAATGGTTAGTAATGGTTAGTAATGGTTAGTAATGGTTAGTAATGGTTAGTAATGGTTAGTAATGGTTAGTAATGGTTAGTAATGGTTAGTAATGGTTAGTAATCGTTAGTAATCGTTAGTAATCGTTAGTAATCGTTAGTAATCGTTAGTAATCGTTAGTAATCGTTAGTAATCGTTAGTAATCGTTAGTAATGGTTAGTAATGGTTAGTAATGGTTAGTAATGGTTAGTAACGGTTAGTAACGGTTAGTAACGGTTAGTAATGGTTAGTAATGGTTAGTAATGGTTAGTAATGGTTAGTAATGGTTAGTAATGGTTAGTAATGGTTAGTAATGGTTAGTAATGGTTAGTAATGGTTAGTAATGGTTAGGAATGGTTAGGAATGGTTAGGAATGGTTAGGAATGGTTAGGAATGGTTAGGAATGGTTAGGAATGGTTAGGAATGGTTAGGAATGGTTAGCAATGGTTAGCAGTGGTTAGCAGTGGTTAGCAGTGGTTAGGAATGGTTAGGAATGGTTAGTAGTGGTTAGTAGTGGTTAGTAGTGGTTAGTAGTGGTTAGTAGTGGTTAGTAGTGGTTAGTAGTGGTTAGTAGTGGTTAGTAGTGGTTAGTAGTGGTTAGTAGTGGTTAGTAGATGTTAGTAGTGGTTAGTAGTGGTTAGTAGATGTTAGTAGTGGTTAGTAGTGGTTAGTAGTGGTTAGTAGTGGTTAGTAGTGGTTAGTAGATGTTAGTAGTGGTTAGTAGTGGTTAGTAGATGTTAGTAGTGGTTAGTAGTGGTTAGTAGTGGTTAGTAGTGGTTAGTAGTGGTTAGTAGTGGTTAGTAGTGGTTAGTAGTGGTTAGTAGTGGTTAGTAGGGGTTAGTAGTGGTTAGTAGTGGTTAGTAGTGGTTAGTAGATGTTAGTAGTGGTTAGTAGTGGTTAGTAGATGTTAGTAGTGGTTAGTAGTGGTTAGTAGATGTTAGTAGTGGTTAGTAGTGGTTAGTAGTGGTTAGTAGTGGTTAGTAGTGGTTAGTAGTGGTTAGTAGTGGTTAGTAGTGGTTAGTAGTGGTTAGTAATGCTTAGTAATGCTTAGTAATGCTTAGTAATGCTTAGTAATGCTTAGTAATGCTTAGTAATGCTTAGTAATGGTTAGTAATGGTTAGTAATGCTTAGTAATGCGTAGTAATGCTTAGTAATGGTTAGTAATGGTTAGTAATGGTTAGTAATGGTTAGTAATGGTTAGTAATGGTTAGTCATGGTTAGTCATGGTTAGTCATGGTTAGTCATGGTTAGTCATGGTTAGTCATGGTTAGTCATGGTTAGTCATGGTTAGTCATGGTTAGTAATGGTTAGTAATGGTTAGTAATGGTTAGTAATGGTTAGTAATGGTTAGTAATGGTTAGTAATGGTTAGTAATGGTTAGTAATGGTTAGTAGTGGTTAGTAATGGTTAGTAATGGTTAGTAATGGTTAGTAATGGTTAGTAATGGTTAGTAATGGTTAGTAATGGTTAGTAATGGTTAGTAATGGTTAGTAATGGTTAGTAATGGTTAGTAATGGTTAGTAATGGTTAGTAATGGTTAGTAATGGTTAGTAATGGGTAGTAATGGTTAGTAATGGTTAGTAATGGTTAGTAATGGTTAGTAGTGGTTAGTACGTGGTTAGTAATGCTTAGTAATGCTTAGTAATGCTTAGTAATGCTTAGTAATGCTTAGTAATGCTTAGTAATGCTTAGTAATGCTTAGTAATGCTTAGTAATGCTTAGTAATGCTTAGTAATGCTTAGTAATGCTTAGTAATGCGTAGTAATGCTTAGTAATGCTTAGTAATGCTTAGTAATGCTTAGTAATGCTTAGTAATGCTTAGTAATGCTTAGTAATGCTTAGTAATGCTTAGTAATGCTTAGTAATGCTTAGTAATGCTTAGTAGTGCTTAGTAGTGCTTAGTAGTGCTTAGTAGTGCTTAGTAGTGCTTAGTAGTGCTTAGTAATGCTTAGTAATGCTTAGTATTGCTTAGTAATGCTTAGTAATGCTTAGTAATGCTTAGTAATGCTTAGTAATGCTTAGTAATGCTTAGTAATGCTTAGTAATGCTTAGTAATGCTTAGTAATGCTTAGTAATGCTTAGTAATGCTTAGTAATGCGTAGTAATGCGTAGTAATGCGTAGTAATGCTTAGTAATGCTTAGTAATGCTTAGTAATGCTTAGTAATGCTTAGTAATGCTTAGTAATGCTTAGTAATGCTTAGTAATGCTTAGTAATGCGTAGTAATGCTTAGTAATGCTTAGTAATGCTTAGTAATGCGTAGTAATGCTTAGTAATGGTTAGTAATGGTTAGTAATGCTTAGTAATGCTTAGTAATGCTTAGTAATGCTTAGTAATGCTTAGTAATGCTTAGTAATGCTTAGTAATGCTTAGTAATGCTAGTAGTGGTTAGTAGTGGTTAGTAGTGGTTAGTAGTGGTTAGTAGTGGTTAGTAGTGGTTAGTAGTGGTTAGTAATGCTTAGTAATGCTTAGTAATGCTTAGTAATGCTTAGTAATGCTTAGTAATGCTTAGTAATGCTTAGTAATGGTTAGTAATGGTTAGTAATGCTTAGTAATGCGTAGTAATGCTTAGTAATGGTTAGTAATGGTTAGTAATGGTTAGTAATGGTTAGTAATGGTTAGTAATGGTTAGTCATGGTTAGTCATGGTTAGTCATGGTTAGTCATGGTTAGTCATGGTTAGTCATGGTTAGTCATGGTTAGTCATGGTTAGTCATGGTTAGTCATGGTTAGTCATGGTTAGTAATGGTTAGTAATGGTTAGTAATGGTTAGTAATGGTTAGTAATGGTTAGTAATGGTTAGTAATGGTTAGTAATGGTTAGTAATGGTTAGTTAATGGTTAGTAATGGTTAATAATGGTTAGTAATGGTTAATAATGGTTAATTAATCATTAATTATCGTTAGTAATTATTAATAAACATTAATAAACACTAATGGTTCATCATCATAAAGGTTGGAAATGGTCGATAATGGTTTGCGGTTAGTATGGGACTATAGAGGTTTAATAATGACAATGGTTCATAAATAGAGCTTAAACATATATATATATATAATTATAATTTTTAGCAACCCCAAGTCATAGATAGAAAAGTGGGAAACCGTTTTGAACACGTGGATTTTATTTCTAGTAAACCATCCTGGAAACTCTGTTCTATCTTTTTGGGGGTTTTACTGTAACCCCCCGTAATTTAAGAGTGTGCTATTGAAAATTGCCATGTAGTTCGTTGATTTGCGCATTAAAAAGCTGGATTTTCCATAGCAGACTGTTAGTTTACCAGATGGCATCCCCATGTCCTGTTTCAAAAAAATGTAACAAAAACATTGATGGTGTCTATGTCATTTGTATGTGTAATGTAAGTGGACGCATAGAGCTATCCGTAGCATGAAAAAAGTCGATAAAGCGTATGTACAGTAACTATATACGTGTGTGTGTGTGTGAAATGCTCCAATACGTATGCACTTCATGTTGTGATTCCATATTAGTCCGCTAAATTATTGAGGTCGCCAAAACGTGGTATATACTCATGTCTGACTTGGGGATGTAGACTGCCAAATTCAAAGAGCTCTGCAAACAAGCAACCAATGGCGATATCTTTGGGATCAAAGCGTGCAGAATCGTGAAGGATCCGATGGTACACATCTTCACTTGCGCGAAGCCTGGGAGGTGGCTGAACATGCCTGAAGATGCCCATCGTCCATGTGAAGCAAACCTAACGAACAACAAAAAAAACTGGGCATATGATGGCAAATGAACATCACATCAAGAAGCCATTCTGATTGGCAAATTCAGTACGGTGCCGTTCAGTCCAGCAGATTTGTGAGCTCCAAATAACTCAAGCACAAAGTTGCGCTAAGAGACTTTTGAGACTTTTGACTCGCTCCTTTCGCAGAAGTTGCGTCCACCTGGCACGCACGGCAAGCACAGCCGCGCCATTATATAGCTGACATGCAACACTTTGGCATGGTAAATCAAGCGAAAGCACAGAAAAATTCATGTAGCCGATGTGGCGGTTCTTGAAATTGAAGTCACACTAGGAATCCCTCAAATCATTTCATGATGATCCATCAAACGTCGTTATTTTCAGCATTGAATCCAATGTGATTTGACAGGTCCCAGATCTTTAAAAACAACACACGCACACACACACACACATATATGTATATATATATATATATGTGTGTGTGTGTGATTGACATATTTTAAAAAAAAAAAAACATATAGTATAAATTATATTATATTACATTTATATTGTATTATATTATATCATACTGTATTAAATTATATTATATTATATCATATCATATTATATTATATTATATTTTATTGTTGTATATTTTATTATATTAAACTATTTTATATGTGTATATATATATATATATTATTAATGTATAAAATAAAAATAGAAATATATAATAATATATATATATATAGTAATATCTCCATCACCATCTCCAAGAGTCTATGTATATATATATATGTGTGTGTGTGTGTATGTACATATATATATATATATATCCTGTCAATGTGGGGACATCAAGCTCTTGAGCCCACCTTCTTGGCGTGGCCCTTCACCTCTTTTTTCGCGTCCGGCTTTGGGACTTTCTTCCCATCAACTTTCTTGCCTTCGGCACGGCTGCTTGATCCTGGCCGTGGGTCCAACTGTTGGACATGACCTCATAGGGGATGTTCCATGATCGTTTGGATGCTGGACTAAAAACTCACCTCAAGAGAAGAATTTCAGAAATGCTCGGCTTAGCACTGGAGCCTCCATTGCGGGACACACCAGCAAGATAAAGTTGAGTGTCAGCAGCTGCGATCCCGTCCCATGCTGCTTCTCCCGATGGTAAAGAGAGACCTTGGCAAAAACGAGGAACGCATTCAACAGTCTTAACAAGCAATGGAATTACATGTTGGCACATGTTTCATGGAAGGGTTCGGTCTTATTTTGGCATACCTTCTCGGGGTTGGGGCAGCATCGGCGATACGAGCTGGAACAGATGTTCCATGCATCAAAGCTTGTTCACATAATCAAAAATGGCAGAACGAAATCGTCCTAAAAGACCCTATTGAATAGGGTCCATGGCCATGTTGAAGTCGAAGACCCGAAGTTGTCCATTTTGAAGGTGCCCATAGGATCCATAGGTGCCCATGAAGAAACCCATAGGTCATAGGTGCCCCAACTGCCCCATCTCCAAGGGACATCTGGAGGATGGCCACCAGCCCATGCGAATGCCGCTGCCACGGTGCCACGTTGCCAGAGTCTGATCCTCAAACCTCGGTCGTCCAATGACTCCTGCCCCCCACAAGAAAAGCCCAGATAGGTCAGATAGGTCGAGTAGAATTAGCAGAAATGGGTCAGAAAACCGAAGAACTGCCAGCCCAGCCCCATGTGTGCTCATCCTGTGCTGTGCGAAACGTTCAGCTGGGGCACTGAGCTGACACGCAGGAGTGCCCGGGCAGCAAACACTTCACACTTACATCGCGGTCAGCCCGTTTTGGAAGTTGGACCTCGCAAAATCACTTGCTGGGCTGGGTTCTTTCAAAACGATGCGGGAATCTTCACCAAACTTGGCCACCAATTCTTGAAAGTTGACATCACACAGCCAGGAAAATCGTCTTTGGCTTCATAGCTTCCAACTATTGTTCCCAACATCCTTGCCAAAAACTCAAGGCGCCAACAGTTTGCAAAACAACTTTTTAGAAATTTTGGCAATTACAACTGGTTGAATCCCCATTTTTGATAGTTGAATCCTATAATCTCAATCCATATGTTCATTTTTCCCTAACATCAGACGGCTTCGTCTGCAAACAGGGTACCCCCCCAGTAAATGATGACCAGCATTCCCCAGTAAAATAATGTCAACCCTGGATTAATCACCCTTAGGCTCATGATTGGGAGGGTACCATTTAAGTATCAGATTATGACTATTGGATAGTATTGGGGGAATACCCAATTTTTATAAACCATGAGCACATTTTTCCTGGGGAATCTGGGGATCTACAGCCATTGTTCCAAGGCACCCAGCGGCTCCAGCGCTCCATCCGCAGGTCCATCCACCACAGCGCCCCGTCGCCGGCCGCCAGCACCGACGTGTCATCAAGGCGCGCCAGGGCCTGGCAGCGGAAGCCGCTGGGCACAGGCGCAACGTTGGACCTGGGCGGCACGAGTAGGGGAAATACAGGTAGATAGATGTGGCAAATATATAGTGTGTGGAGATATATATATATATATAAAATAGAGAGGGAGAGGGAGAAAGAAAGAAAGAAAGAAAGAAGGAAGGAAGGAAGGAAAGAAAGAAAGAAAGAAAGAAAGAGAGAGAGGGAGTAACTCCCGAATAAGATGGAAAGGAAAGAAAACAAGTATCAAATGTTAGTGGCGAATGAATGTAAATGACGTGTTTACCTTTTGAGGAGCTATTATATAGGTTTATCATTTGCCACATGCATGCGTGCATCATGATGCATTTTCGTTTGCATGCTGGTATGTTTAGAAAGAGTACATAGTTTTGTGTTTATCCTCCAAGTGTGTTTTTTATCTCAGAAATAACACATGGAAGATAGCTGAACACATGGGGAAGTCGCAACGCATAGCCCAATTTTCAGCTTCGAAACGGCCTCCTGACGTCCCACAACAGCCATGACGTTCCAGTGGCCACGGCCAAGAGCTGCTCGTCCAAAGGGCAAAGCACAGGGTCGCACAGTGATGGCAGAGACTCTGCAGCACCCGACTGCAGTGGGCGGCGTCTTAGTGGTGAATGGGTCATGGGGCCGTACACAGTAGATCCCACTACATCCCAATTGTTTAAGGCCAAGCTTTTTGGAGCGGCTGCGTCGAAACGTCGAGATCTATCGATTTATCTATCTATTCGTCTGTCCCTCTGTCACTCTGCCCGTCTGACTATCTGTTTGCGTGCGTGCATTAAACTTCGCTGCATGCTCCCGTCGGCACCTCCACGTTAATCAGGGCCACCTTCTTTGGGTAGGCCACCACCGCACGGCCATGCATCCAATGCACTGCCAGAGCATGTCCATCATCCTTTTTGCCTAGGAGTTCGTTGTTTTTTGCCGGTTCGATGTGCAAGCCTTTCTCTGAAAAAATTGGTGTCTCACTGATCCCAAGCATTGGTCTTAAAAACGGAGTGTGGACAGCCATGTTGTCAGAGCACTCCTGTCCACAAAGTTAAGGTTTTGGAATATCATCCCATAACGGGAATGGCTGACAACCAGGCGAATTCTTCGCAGTGAGGATACAAATGGGATACCCATGGTGATCAACCCCATAAGTTGGGATATCACCCACATAAATATGTTATCATAAGTTATATCTCCACTTATAACTGGAACTGCACTTCCAAGTACATCTTGTAACCCACTTCTAAGATCTCAAAGTCAGTGAACATGGCCGCCATGGCCCCTATTCTTCCAAGGCTCCCAGTGAAGTGGCCTGGCTTCGAGGATCGGTGAGGTCATGAAGGCTCAGGCTGCCTCCTTTTTTTGCCACAAATCACAGGGAGATGGGGAGATCAAGGGGATGTTTAACTATGTTTAACTGATATAACCGTAATATAACCCACCAAGAATGGGGACCAATGGCATGTTCATCCATTTTCTGGTTGATCAAAGCTTTCAACATGCTTAGTGAATTTCAAAACTGGTCAAGACTGATGGGTGAAACTCCTATTGATAAAGATTGGGTGAAACAAGTAGTACAATTGTCCAACTGTAGTGTCAATTGCAATTTCAGGTACCTAAACTGGAGGTACTGTGCCATATAAAGCCATATGTTGGGGTTATATCCTCTTACATAGCCCTCAAAATAAACCTTATATATTGTAGGTATCTCCAATTTAGGTTCATGAAATGGCCACTGACTGATAGTAGCTATATCCATCAACTGGTGGTTTATCAGGAGTTTCAGCCAGTGCACCAGGTACATAATCCATTTAGTCCCTACCCAGAATCACCCACCAAACAAGACCCATGTGGAATGTATTGGATCTATTCAAAACCCTATGAAAACCACTATAACCAATTTAGCCCAGGGTTAAACTCCATTAAATCACACCAAAACCCCGTTTAGACCCCACCAGCGAACGGCAACGCAGAGCTCCTTTGCCCAGCACCAGCAGCAGTTCTTCCCAAAGGTCGAAACTGGCCACGTGGCCCTTGAGTTTGTTGAAGCGTGGCTTCTCGTGGCTGTTGAGATTCCACAAAGCTAAACCTGGGATAAAGACTTGGGGTGCCAGATTCTGAGTTTTGTTAGGGGGAATGAAGCAATAAAAAACAAGTTGGGTATTTTACCTGGTTGAAAAGATGATGTTCAAGTCTTGTTGTACCTCGTGGTTATGAACGATTTTGGGGTTGGTCCGAAGTAAGCATTGTTGGATGTGCAGGGTTCAGCTGTCACACCATAAGTTTGAGTAATTTTGCTTGCGGCTCACACTTCGAAAGCTCTTCGCAACCTTTTAACCTTGAAGGCTCAAGACGTTTGAGCCATTACTTACTACATTACCACTTACTACACCACGTGCTAACCACCCAAACGACGCAACAAAATCGCCAACTCTCCGTGAAACAGTGCTGAGCAGTTTTCGCTATATGCCCAGCTAAACCACCCAGCACAGCTGTGGGTTCAAGTGTCTCGATTCTAGCAGCTATACCCCTTTGCCTTGGCGAAGGCACCAGGACTGTTGAAGCCCCATTTTGAGCCAATGGGTCAATAGCATTTTTTTTCAATGGGCTCATTTCGTTCCGAGTTTCCTCATTTACATGTCATTTTCCTCGGCTGTCCATTTGAAAGAATGATTCTCTATTGCCATGTTAACACTACAGCCTGATATTTGCCCCCCGAAAGGTAGCATGGAAACCCAACAACAGGGTTTCCAAAATGACAGTCCTTTTCAACACTTGCAATTCTAGTGTTTCATGTTGGTTTTCACAGAGCTTCCCTCAATATTCGAACTTTACTGCCGAAAATGACATTCTAAACCCTGCATTGCATTTTTCTGCTGGAAAAACTGATAAATCACTCTTGGATAACATGTTTCTCCATATCATCAATCATCATCCATCCCATACCATTTTTCCCCCAGGGGTTAATGGCAAACCCCAGACTCATAGACCATGGTTTATTAGAACGCTACTCCTCAAATACTTCGACCTCTTCAAAAATCTCTTGCAATGCTACACCCTGCCAATTCAACAGCCGTTGGATGCCATGATTCCACCGCTGCTTCCACCGAGGGCCGAGTCGCTACTTTCCTTGCCGAGCGCCCCCAAAACCGCCACGCGCGAAGAGGTGTGGCGCGCACATCGCGCAGAGCCACTGAGTAGCGGGACGACCTCACGCGCCTGGGCGATGTGCATGACTTTAAGGCATAGTTAAATTATAGATAATAACTATATAGATGTTGATATAGAGGTAGAGATAGATATAGAGACATTAGGAGTGGATATTATATATATATATGATACATATGTATGTGTGTGTGTGTGCGTGCGCGTCTTTCGTTATATCATATATGTCGTCAATGTTTGGATCCTTGGATGGAAAAACCATTGGTACAAACCCAACGAGTGCAAGCATGAATCGTGCATCAAGAATAAAGAACGGCAAGTTGCATGTTTGGATTTCACCAGCCAAGACACAGAATCCGCTCTTCAGAAAGAATCATGAGCAATCAACCAAGCATGTTGATGACTCAGAGTCATCATCCACAAGACGTGAATAAAATATCCAGCCCAATTCAATGCCCTTTGAAATTGAATGGCTTGAATTCAGAAATTTCCGCACCTAGCAGGAAAACAAATTATTGTCCAACGTGATTTTCTCTTGCGTTTCATGCTTGGCTTTCATAGGTCTTTCATTGTGCTAGTGCCAGAGATGCCCAGTGAATTCGAGGTTTGGATATCCTTTCCCCAAAAAAAAATGTCTTTTTATAGTATGTTATAGTAGGTTTCCATCCATTTCCCCAGGGCAGGAACCGAGGCGCCGCCGGAGGATCCTCGAAATCCTGGACTCCTTTGCAGACCTCGACCTCGCCAGCGGAGTTCGGCACCGCCGCCCAGGAGAGATTGGAGGCAAAGCCTGGGAGATCTGGGAGCTCTCCCACCGAAGCAGTGGATTTCATAGGAAAAGATTGGAATAACTAACATGAAGTAACAATATCGTCGAACATGGCGATAGTTGTGGAGATATTCATGGGGATATGTATAACGGACCTAATTGATACATGATATTATGGTGTGATTGAAAATGGGTTGCAATATGCCTTGGGGGCCCTTTCAGATGGAACTCTTAGTAGCTCCTGGGCTCCCCATTGAGTAGGACATACAGATGCTCGGATAGCAACAGTCACCATCTACCGAAATCGACCAAACAGGCAATGACACGCAAAAACCTTTTGTTATTCGAAGACAACTAAAGACTCAGACTACTTGAAACAGCTATGAGGAGTGGAGCACCCAGAGTCTGTCAAGGAAACGCTCGCTTCTGCAGGTCATGTTCGAGTCCAGCCTGCGGCTCCCACCAGCGAGCAAAAGGTGCTGAGCCCCTGGTTGATCTGGTTGCACCTGGGTCGCTGACCACAATCCGAAACTGACACCGGTCAATCCGGGGTGGATGTGTGGTTTGAACATCTTCGAAAAAGGAAAATGCCAAGAAACCCCCCATGTTTGGGTCATTCATCAGCAATGACACGCCAAGTGACCCCTCGCCGAAGAAATCCTCGGTAAGCTCGGACCACCAGTCTGCTCGGCCCACATCCTGAAGGTGGGGGTTTTCCGTGCCAAGATCAGTCAGTTTATGACGCCAATAGGAACGGGAATATCACTCAGTCACTATCACTTTTATTTTTAGATTATAACTATAATATACATTAATATACTATAATTATAATTGGGATACTATGGGTTTTTTGATGTTTTTTGTTTGGTTTGAACTGCCAATGTCTGAAGAAATGCCCATTCCACTCCTGGTGCTCAAGGGCACGCGCCATTCTGCTGGCATCCCTCAGGGGCAGCGCCTGCTGAAGAACTTGGAGATGAAATTGATGACATGGGATGAACGCTCCCAAAAATGGGATGCCTTGCGGCATCAAAAACCTCAATATGTCAATAATATGTCAAATATTGTCAAATAATATGTCAATATGTGGGTCTGAAAATTTCGAGCCAACCAAATCACCTACTACCAATCGGCTTTGGCTGAAATTTAGCTTGGTCCGAAGCAACGGCCAAAGGAGACCAAGAACATCCAAAAAGGATCAAAAAAAAACACTGTTTTGCACCATTCTGATCATTCTGGCTGGCAATCTGAGAGGGATGAGAATGAAATACCTAAAAGCCTAAAATGGTATGGTTATGACGGTTATGTACTAATTTCGCTCATCCCATCCCAAAGATTGACTTTTCCTCTCCAGAAACCATGGATGGTTTCAGAACCGAGTTGGGGCGGCATCGTATTATAGCAACCCCCAAAAAGGAGCAAGCTAGAAGAGTTGGAAACCTGGAAATTACCCGGAAAACATCATCTGAGCCATGCTGGAAATACGTGTCGGCATCTTTTTTGGAAGCCCTATCAATAAAACACATTAAAACACCGTCAATTTGAGGCTTGTCAGTGGGCATACCTCTGTTTGGGACAATGACCCCCAGTGGTGGTACCTTCAGCACGCTGCGCCATGCCAAGGATGGGAGCCGAGAACCAGCCAAGCGAGGTGGAGGTTCAAAGGGCCTCAATCATTTAGTTCGATGATGTTTTTTCAGCGAACTCAACCTCCAAATTTGTAGTGGATTTTCTATTGCCATGATTGCCGGAGGCTATCCATTAAAAAATCACCTGAAACCGAAACCATGGTTTCCTGATGTTTCAGAACCAGGGTATGTGCATATGGCCAATTCTAGATTCTTAGCTACCCTTCGGCAATCAACTGGGAAATCCCCGACTAAATGGAGATTTAAGGATGGGGAAAATGCTGGCTAGCCATGTTTGACTACCCGAGGATACCAAGCTCTGGCTACAACGAACATCAAAATATCCCCGCAACCTTTTCAGGTAAAGCATCAACAAGGAAAACATATCGAAGTCCAACAACCAATCAGGACTGGCAACAGTTCCGATCGATCCATCCCAGTTGAAACATCACTGGGAGGGACGAGGCCTTGGAATTGCCAGCTGTGGATTTGCTTAAGGGGGTCTCAACAAAAAATGAATTCCCTACAGTACAGGTTTCCCACAAAAGTGGATATCCCATTAGGAAAAAGATGTCGCTTCTGAGGGAGGTGCAAACCCAGCAGCTGGACTCCCACCCTCTTCGGCACCTGCTTGTCTCTGCCAGCTGAATTTCATGCATGGGCCTTGGGGGCGAAAGCTGAATTCAATGAATTTTCCGTGGAAAATCACGAAAAGGCCATTGTTTTCTTACAAACAACTGCTAGGGCTGGTAGGCTTTCCCGCAGATTTCCCCTTTCAACCAAGTTCAGGATACAGTGCATCAAGCCATAAAGAGTAACTACGGTGGAGGTCAATCCAGATTCTGCGAACGGTATGGACCAGTGGCCAGTTTGCAAAAAACATGGCTCGCTGGAAACACCGCCTTTTAGTTCGATAATGTGCTCCTTCAAACCCATTAAAAGATCCATTTATATGCGATTTTTGAGGATTTCCTAGCCAGGCATGTTTGATTCTTGGAGGTTATCACTGCGCCAGCAGACTTCAAAGGCTCCGCAGAGCTGTGACAAGCCATCAGTGTGACGCTCTCGCAGCGCCACTTCAGAGGCAGCTCGAGACTCGATTCCGCAGAGTTCACCAACCTTTCAGCCTGGCGCAGGTGAATGGAAAATCCGATCGTTTTTAGTTCAACCTATCGTTAAATCCCAACTTTCATGTCAAAAATCTCTGTTTTTTTCTGAGGTTTAGGTAATTGAACATTGCCATTTTTGATCCACATCTCACATCCCACATCTCACCTCCCCCAGCGGCAGCTGCCCAAGGGTGAGGTGAAACGCGTCACCAGCGTCGCCAGCCTCGCACTCCTCACTGCGCGCGAGCTGCGATTGTAACTATCATCTTCAACTGGTAGGTTTTTTTTTTTGGGGGGGGGTTCCACATTAATTACTGGTTGTACTTCTCTGTTTCAGTTCGCTTCCGATGTAGCTTAGTGTTGCGTTCTTCAGAATGGTAGGGAGCCGTAATCTGAAGCCCAGGTGGTCCCGAAAAAGCAAGGAATCTCTGTGCAAACAATTCCCCGATTCCCCATCCCTGGCACTGCGAGTATCCCCGTGAGCGATGCCCAGTTAAATGGAAACGGCCAACCCAGTTCTTTTGCTTCCATTCCCACTTCTGTTGGAGAATCAGCCCGGCCAAGTAATCCCTATCATTCCAATCACCATTTCACATTTCAGCCAAAACATCAGCTCCACTGGTGGCTACCATCTCCACCCCAAATAGAAACCCCGTCTATAATACTCGTGAACAGGCTTTGTCTAAATAATGGTCACTCGTGAACAGGCTTTGTCTAAATAATGGTCTTCCAGCTACTTACAAACGGTAATTCCCCATATTCCAACAAACCAGGATCGGCATCATGCAATATGAGAGTATACCTAGTTGACTATGATTTTTGACGGTTCCAAACAAGTTGCCATATCCAATATCAGCTAATCATACATGGCCATTCCCGCGCTATTAAGTAAACGAGGTGGCTTTATTCTGCTTTAATTCGAGCCGCTTAATATTCAACCTGAATATGTAGAAATCCGCTAGCCGCTATTCCATCTTGGTTTCTTGGGGTTGTTTAGTATGAACCAGGGAGGGGATTGATGATTTACATTTCATCCCATTAAACTCATTAAACCACTATAATCTGTAAATCCCATTATAATCCCGATAATGTGGTAAGCCCAATAAGAAACCATTTCACAGATCACCATAAATGGGTGGTAAAAACCATCCCAAATGCTACGTTTATGGCATTGAGTGAACCCCACATTAAATCCCATTAAACCATATTAAACCACTATAATCCCGTTGTAAAATCCCAGTGTGGTCCCAATAAATCCCATTAAATCCCATTAAATGCGCCTATTGAACCATATTAAACCACTACAGTACCATCATTAAACCACGATAATCCCATGATCCAACAGACCGACATCAACTTCCACCGTTCCCGGGCGCTGGAAAGATCCGCAGCACTTCCCTGCGTAGCAGATCCAAGCTCTGAACACTCGCAGTGCTGGGCTGCAGGGCCACGTACCTCAAGCCCAACAAACATATGGGGACCCCCAAATAGATGGAAAGTGTCAAACGTTGGAAAAAAATGTTGGAAAAAAATGATTGGTTTTCTGTTTTCTCCATGATTTCCAGGGTTTCAACGTTTTCCGCTGTAAATGATCGAGAATATGGTTGTGAAATGTTTTGAATGGGGTTGAGTGGGTTTGTTATAGTCCAGAATCTAACCTGGGATCCCCAATAAGGGATTTGTCTGCGTATAATGGCGGCCATAGATAGTGATTTAGCTGGGTAAAGAACAGACCAAATTATGGGTTTATATCATGCGATATAATGCGATATGACTGGACATGGTGGGATATAATGGGATTACATGGGATAACCCCTTTAAAGATGACCACCAATAAAGGAGCTGTACTAAGGGCTTGTGAACCACCGACAGCCACTAAATCAGGAGACGGAGAAGACAGCTGTTCGGGGCGAGGACTGTGGCTGGTCAGATACCGATTCCCATGTTTTAAGGTGGAAAGACCATCCATAAATGACACCAAAAAGATATATATATATACATATATATTATATATATATAAATATATATATATTATAGAGATTATAAATATGTGTGTATGTGCGTGTGATAGATGTCCTGGGGCCACCTTAGATGATCACAATGTAAAAACGGCTATTCGTTTTTACTCATCCAGTCACCTGTATGATATCTGAGCCTTGGCCAAGGTTGGTGGCTGATAGTGGTTCACCTGATGCAATCCATCAGCAGATTTTTGCTGAGCAGCACTCTATCCCGGTCTCCATGAGCTTCGCTATTCAACAGCCCAACCTTGGCCGGAGGGCACGGCACGGAGGTGTATGAAAGCCCAAGAGCAGTTTGGGCCAGGAGAAAAGTCGCAAAAGCGACTGAAATGGCAACACAGTCAGAAAATGTAAGAAACGGAAAACGGGGGGGCGTCCCTGAAAGATCTTCAAGCATGTTTTTCCATGTGTTTCCATGTTTTTCCACATCTTCCCGCCTTGTTATTGCCACTTCCTATGCTTTGCATCTGTGTTGCGCTCACAAACCAGCTCTCATCTCCCAAGTCTGAGCTGTCCAACGGACGCCAGTTCCAGGTCAAAGGCCGGAATGGTCAACCTCGCCACATCCCGCCATCACAAAGAACCCCTGTGACTTCCTGAAAAGTGACCTTCAGTCCAAGATGTCCAAGGTTTACCCCGAAATTCCTACAGCATGGCAACCTGTAAGCCTGTGACTCCCAGCCGATCCGCCTGGTCTGGCCAAAGCGGGCCAGAGCTGTCCTGGGCGGTCTCGGGGTCCAAACGAAGGGGACTAAACAGGGAAATGTTGACCAAACAACAAATTTATGTAACTGGTCACATATTGCTGGTTACATCACCAAACTGATAGATATTATGGTGATGTAACCAGCAATATGGGTATTTGCCTTGGTCCGGAATGGAGTAGTTAGACGCATAAAATCACAATGCTAATTTGGGAAAATGATGATCAACAACTGGATTTGGGCGTGTGCCTTGGGGTGATCCTACCCCGTGGTAAACAATCTTGGCGGGTAGGGTATGGACGGTATGGTCCCCCACCCCGCATCACCCCGCTATCTCAACCATACCCAAGCACAAGGTGATGCCCCCTATTTTTCAGTTGGCCTTTACCCCCCCATCTATGGTTACTTTATTTCATCACCATAAACCCAACAGTTAATCCAGGCATACAGTCATTTCATTTCATCCATCTAGTTGACTATTGTTAATTGTATTGTAAACATTTGTACACCAACTTAGCATACATTCACTGGGGCACCATTGGCACATACTGCCACCACCACTGGTGCAACATCCCTCCGTCTCCTGACAGGTACAAAGGGCCAACAGATTCGCAGGTGCGGCGGCCACCGCGCAAAGGCGCGGTCGTGCCGTTGCCGAAGGACTTGCACCTGGCTGCTGAGGAAGTGCTGTCAGTCTTTCTTCAGATTTTCCTCCACTAAAAAAGGATCTCACCAAAAAAAGAAGATGTCTCTAAATCTCCCTCTGGCCCTCTGATGTTTTCAAATTGAGGAAACAGAGAAAACACTAGAGAATATCGTATGCATACCAAGGTCTTCTTTGGACCCACGTTGATCATATTGATCACCTCATGAAAGTAGCCTCCGTGGTAAACTCAGCTGGTGGCAGTATCACCAGAGCTGTGCGGGAATCCAAGCCGCCGTCTGCCATGGCTCTTGGCAGTTGGACTGGGGTTATTTATGGGAAACCATGATAAACCATGATGAGTTCACCTCCATAAGTTGGGATATGGGGCCCATACTCCTATGCTGAAATATATCCACTTCCAACCGGAACTGCACCTCCAAAGACCAATTACGGGGTACGGTAGTCTCAGTGGTTCCGGATGGTTCCGGGGGGGCCATGCTCAAGACACAGTAATTTCCTGGGGATGGCCACGCCAAGCCTACTTTGGAGTAAGTATACATACGAGCGTGTTGGCACGCCTTCATCTACGCCCTATATACATATATAGTCGGTTTTTTGCTGGGGGGGGTTGTTCAAACGTTTGCTTCATATTGCTGGAATGATGAGCAGCTAGGTAGGCAATTGAGTCAGAAGATAAAACACATCCAAGTGCACCGAAATTCGGAGCCACGCCGTGACCTTTTGCGGCACGGAGATTCTACAAGGTGGTGCCCAGTCATGTTTGTTGGTTAACTCCCATTGACCATGAATAGATCTACCAAAAACATCCAAAAACCCAATGGTTGTTAAGGTTATACAGTTATACCAGGTTATACCATGTTATACCAACTTGGCCAACGAACTGGAACACCACCTTGTAGGTCTCAATCCTTGGCGCTACCGGTGAAACTTGGCTTCTAAGCACTCGCAGGGGCCTTGCCAAAACATCGGGGAGGAGCCCCCCACGATCCATTTCCTTCGACGGACCGTCAAATGGTGGATGACTTGGAGGATGACTCTGTGGATGGTTTGGTGGCCACAATTTTTATGTCAATGGATTGGTTTAAGGGAAAATCCAAGGGAAAGCGTGAGTTTTACCTCCAAATAAGAGGCGTTCCCTCGTTTTCTTGCGGATGTTTCCCTTCAACCAATGTCTATCAATGTCTGGGATTATGTACAGTGGCGCTTCTTAGCCATACTTTCAGCACGGCTCAGTCGCCATCTACCTTGGCACTTTGGCACAAACACCTGCCGAAGCTTAGGGGCGACATGATTCCATGAATGGGGGTACCCCAATAGCTGGGTTTCCAATGGAAGATCCGATTAAAATATTTAAAATGGATGTGGATGATGACTGGTACCCCCATTTTAGGAAACCTCCATATACCTGTCTGACACGATGGGGTTTTCGATCTTGTCGGGGTTCATGGTTTTCAGTCTGCAAAGTACGGTTTCGGTACCTTTGACGGTTCAACTTTGACTCACTATGCCTATGGCCAAACCCAAATCCAAAACAACATAGCTTTATCCCTTTCCGCTCGTGTCAAGAGCCACGCAAGAATCTCCTAGTTGAGTATTGGAACCAAGCATTTTGGAGGCCAATATGGTTGCATTTAGTGATACAGGATGTGGATGGGATTAGTCACTGTATGAGTAAATGAATGTGTGTGTGCAGTTTATGTCTGTCTGTCCAGCCGTCCGTCTATCCATCCTTCCGGGATATCAACTGCATCATGTGTTTCTCAGCCTCCTTGCACTTCGTGGCCATCTAGGCATAGGCACTCGTGACCCACACACCTTCGAGATTTTTTCGAGGCATTTTTGCAGCCGAGATGATGCAAGTGGTCCTGTCAAAAATGTAATAATTACATTTTAATATACATTGTGCAACACCAAAAAGAAAAGGACGCAATGAGGATGTAATGTGGATGTAATAGCTGTACTGGAATATAACTAGCCACCTTGATATTATCATATTTGGGTCTGTCTGCAAAACTGGGATATACCCCAATTATCCCCAATTTATGGGTGGTGAGAATGATGATAAATGATGGGATGCAATTTTGTACCGTATTGTCCGCCAAACTGAAGTCCGAAGTGGACTACCCCGGAAAACTACATTGGACCTCGCTACTTCCAAGCCGAGAATCATCCTCGACGAAAACCCAATCATAAACCTATCATTTCGGGATTGTTTATAGCACCCAGTTCTGGTGATTTTGCCGTTTATGGCATTGGGTTTCCCACAATGCGGTGGTTCGTAATCTCCTTCCAGTTCCCATCCCCACACGTCCCGAACTCGTCCGCGCACCTCGTAAAGCCCAATTTCCGGGGACAGGATGAGATGAAGCAGGTGCCATTGGTGAACTGTCGCCCTTGCGGAGACTCCTGAGTCGAAAAAAGCTGGGGCGTCTTGGCCCAAACGGCCTATTTATGGATTTGAATGGGATGTTGATGAAGTTTCCTTCAGGTTTGAATGGGGTTTTAATGATCAATCAGGAAGTTTTGGATGGTTTCTGGCCACACTTTGTTCCCCCAAAAAAACGGGGTCTGAATGGGTTTGATGGATTTAGATGGCATGACATGACGCTTTCAGTCCTCCGCCACACAAGTTCCATCCCCAACGGGGTAGTAGCGGAAGCCCTGGCAGAATCACGGGGGAAGATTCCAACAGGTTGTTTCGTAGCGTACATATTTAACCCCTGTTCGCAGTTCTTATGACCCCGTACTCATGTTGAATACCTCGCCAAAAAAATCTCGATTTTTAGTAGGTTAATCACCAGAATATCCCTTCTTTCCAAGAAAAAAGGCCCCTCGTGCTGCATCTGCAAGGAAAATTGTGGAATTTTCCGTCAAGATCCTGGCACGGCACCGAAACAGCTGCACCTTGTGGCAAACACATCTCCAATGGTGGCACTCCACCTCCCCAAGTCCTGAGGCGACGTCAAGGAAAACCGAAAAAAATGCTACGACGTTGAAGGGAATGCTTTCTGTAAATCAGTATGTTTTCCATGGTTTATACCTCTGTTTCCTAGACACTGTCTCTTCATGCATAATTCTGAGAAGCTGGAGCTTCATTTCAGCTAGCGCAGCTGAAGGAAAAATTAACCAAGTACTTGCTTGGTGGTTCCATCCCCATCTTCACATGCAGTAGTCAAGTGGAATCTGACACATTTGGAATTTCATGTTCATACAAATAGAGCAAATATAAGCAAACGTGGAACCATGAAATAATATGCCAGTATATATATATACATATATACATACACATACATACACACAACATACATACACATGTATAGTTTGAAATTATCAAAAACATTCAAAAACCATCAAGGATAAAAAATGCTGTGCAGACTGAGAGGCTTGTAGGGCAGTTGTGGAACATGCAGGTGGTCCCTGTCTCTCGAACCCCTTGCCATTCGGACCCATCTTCAACCTGAAGGGGATGAGCGAGCAATGGTACAAAGATGTGCTGGCCAATCTGGTGCTTTAACCAGAAAACATGGTGAAAAATGGCGGTGAAACATTTAAACATGTGGTTTTTATGGTTGAACCATCCTCAAATGGAGATAACCGAAGGAAAAGATCCAATGCCAAACCATGGCTGTCTGGACGATATTTTATATGAGGGAGATGTTGTTACATGGCTCCAATCCCAACCATCCTGTCTTATCTGATCTCATATTTCATTTGGTGGTTTCCATAGTCATGGGGGGACCCCAAAATGGATGGTTGATAATAGAAACTCCTATTAAAATTAGGGTGCCCCCATTTTAGGAAACCTCCACTTGCATGCATATGTGTCGGGTACAGAACCCATAACAATCATCAGCTTCTAGGTGAAATTGCCAGAAAACAGAGAAAGAACAAACTCAACTCATTTGAGGTTGCCAACTTGGCGCTTAGACTTCAGCCACGCCTGCTGCAGCTCCACATTTTTGTAGCCCGCCCGCACCTCACGGCAGAACAAACGCCTTTGACTTTGACCCCCCCTCTGGCAATCATTTGATGGAGAAAATGACGACTAAAGCCCGTTACAACCAGTTATCCTAAGCAAATTTAGGGGTACCCACCGCTGCCTGCACCAGCTCGAGGCTGGAGTCCGCATCCAAACAGTCATCTGCATTTAAGTTGCCCTTAGCTGTGGCATGGGGACCGCGAGAAATCACGCAGCAGCTAGAAAAGGCCAAAAAGAAATAACATCAAAACTGTTTTCTGATGGTTTTTCCTAATGTCTTCTGGTGATTTCTGTGGGGCCTGTTCGATGTGTTTGTTCAACTGGAATTGTGGTTTAAATATGAGAACAATTCAGGATCATGAAGCTCCCTGCGTTGAACCAAAGGGGCTATGTGGCTCTGGTTTTGCCCCTTTCAAGGTGCTGGATCCAATGCTGCTCAGTTGCAGTGGCAGTCTGGAGAACAGCCACCAACAGCGCCTGATACAGTTCACTGTTGAAGGGTTGCTGCAAAGAAGTCCTTCTTGGAGCCAGTATTTGATATCATTTGGTCATATTTGGTCTGGTTGGTTGGTTGGTTGGTTGGTGGTTTCAAGAAAAAAATTGAACGTCATCAAGGATCATCATGACAAAAACGGCTAAACATAGCTAAACCACCTCTATGGCACCAGGCCTTCCAAACTGGAGGCCTCTGACAGCGCCTGCATCAGAGATTGCGCAACATCCCGGGATTGAAGGTGTGTTCTCAACAACACATTCTTTTGATCAAACATAGTAACGAAAAAGACCTCTTTAAACATCTTCGCACCAGACCAAACGTTCGCCCATGCCCCCAAATCTTACGCCAATACAATGTTATGTTTTTGTCACCAAAGGATGAACGGAAACACTGGTTGTACGCAGTGATTTTGACTTTGTGCTTGCAGGATTGGGGGTTTAGGGTTTACAATCTTATGGTTTTAGGGTTTAGGCTTTAGGATGGCTTAGGTTCTTGGGTTGGAGTTTGTTGTTTTACAAGATTTACAGACACTGGCGCCACGTAGGGATTGGAGCGTATGCAGGATCTGTTACGGGCAAACGTCTGGTCTGCTGCGAACATTTTTTGCTTTGACCATCTTTGACCTCTTTCAACATCTGGTCTATGGTTCATTCCCATCTTCAAGTGCTAAAGGATACCATGGCAAATTTCAATCACTCCACAGCTGGCAGCTTCAAGCTCTGACCTTCCACCCTTCCTTGGGTCAGTTGTTTTTTCTTCTGGACACCGCTCACTTTGCAGGAAATCCGGAGGCCCCTTAGGTCCGGTTTGGCTGATGTTCCTTC